ACTTGTGTGCAAAAGATAAACGAACGAACAAACAAACAAACAATCAACAGAATCAGTGGAAACACCAAGATTTGATTTAATTCAATTTGATGTGCTCCTTCTATTTTAGTTAGATACAAAGTGAACTCCGAAAACAAAACATGCAAGAAGTAATTTAATTTAATAAATCGTTAATCGTTAATTAAAAACTTATATATACATCGCACATAAGAGGAATATATTTTAATTAACATTAAAAGATATCTCCCAGGTAACAATTTTGCCGAAAATTCGCGGGAATTCCAAGGAATCCGCAGATATTCCCAGGAATCTTACAAAACTCTGATCTCCAAGGAATCGAGGAATCAGTCAAAATAGGTCTTTCCTGAGGACTTCTCCGTAAATTCTTCAAAGCAAGTCACCAAAACTGGAGAACTTGGAGAAATTCCTCTCATTTGTCTCCTGGGGTTCACAGTATCACGTCAAGTTTATTTCAACATATTATTCATAAATGGATTGATTGATTTATTTGAATTCAATAAACTCCTTATATGATTATACATATTTAACACTTTAGATAAAAGTAAGTTTAATATTTGTAAAAAAAAAAACATTTCCAATTTTTACTTATATTGAGCTATTTTTGTTTTAAAAATCTTCCATTTTCAGACACCTTATATACTTTTTCTTATTACTTGGCCTAGCACCTCACTATTTTCACTCTGAGGGCTTTTTAAAAGGAGGATTCTTCACACACCCCCCCTCCCCCCTCAGCCTAGACTATACTTCTCCAGCCTTTTGAGATTTAAGAAGAGTTGAGTGAAGAGATTATTTGACTAAGTAGTTTAAATACATAAATGCATAAAGGATTGTTTCAAGCTTAAATGCACTTCCAACTTAAATTTATTTAACTCACATCCCAATATATCTTCATGTGATTGATTTTGAATTTTCTCAAAAGATTGTAATTTTAATTTAAAGTAGGAACAAGCAAATATATTCTAGTACAATTTGTACACTCTCAGTACAGCTGTATTCTTACGTCACAAGTGTCAATTCAAGTTTTGTGTCCGACAAAATTATCAATAATAGTGATAATTTTAGAATATAGGCTTAACATGTGTTCTTTATTTTCTATTTTTACACTTTTTTATTTAATCTTGGAAAACATATCAACTTATATGAGAAAAATTCGTTTTCCTTGTTAATTGACACTTGTGACGCTGTGTATAACTGGTCTATTTATCTGTTGTCGCCAATTGATAATCTATTTTGGTAAAAGTACAAACAGGTGCACAATCCTATCTTCCATGATGCAAAATTCTAGTACAATTTGTACACTCTCAGTATAGCTGTATTCTTACGTCGCAAGTGTCAATTCAAGTTTTGTGTCCGACAAAATTATCAATAATAGTAATAATTTTAGAATATAGGCTTATCATGTGTTCTTTATTTTCTATTTTTACACTTTTTTATTTAATCTTGGAAAACATGTCAACTTATATGAGAAAAATTCGTTTTCCTTGTTAATTGACACTTGTGACGTTGTGTATAACTGGTCTATTTATCTGTTGTCGCCAATTGATAATCTATTTTGGTAAAAGTACAAACAGGTGCACAATCCTATCTTCCATGATGCAAGTCTAGAGATTGGCATTGTTTTTCAAACGAACAAATTTTGGAAAACGAAAAAGGATGTCGATGGATGGATAAAATGGTTTCAGAGAAATGAAAAAATTAGTGTTTTTGAAAATGAACGAAATAGAAACAAAACAAACGATTTAAAATTTTCGAAAACAAAATCGAAAAAAAGAACGTACGATTTTATTGAATGAACTGTTTTACTGAACATTTGTTCAGTAAGAAAACGTAAAAATAGATGGAAAATGAACGATAATTTTGAGAACGAACGAAATCAATTTTTTTACGATTTTAATAAAAGATCGAAATGGGTCTATCACAAACAATGAAGAAACAAAATGAAAAATAGTAGAACGTGACCATCTCTAGATACAGCTCGTATTCTGATTTAAATTCGTATTCATTTTTTGCAATTTCAAATCGCTTACTTTAATAGCGGAGGTGTTATCTCCAAATTGTGTCGGAATACCCAATCTTGACAAATTTTTGAAAATGTAATGCATGCAATTAATAGAAAATATAAAATCTATGCTTATTCTTTACAAATGAAGACAAAGTAGAGACAATCGTAACTCTAAACAGACTTTCATCTTCAAATCAAATCAAATCAGACGCTCAGGGTGTCCAAACTTAAAGTGAATAATACTAAATCATGTATGGTGAAAGATATCATAGCTTGTAGACAATATGGTTCTATATTTGCTTTGATTTTGATATTTTTTTCTGATTTGTATTTTCATTATAAACCTGATAATGTTAAGGATAAGGTTCGTTTAAAGTAAGTTAAACCACTACAGCGGACATTCTACGTACCGACATAGTGCCAGAATCCCAATATCAACCACTAGCTAGAGTCTTAAGAGTCTTGAGCACATTCGCTTCTATAATATACTCAACCAACCACTGCCCTCTTGGTTTACGATGCTGGATAATTGAACACAACTAGCCCAGAGCTGAAAACTTTAGAACGGTGGATATCGGGATTAATGCTTAATCCACTCTTTTTCTTAATTTCGAGATTAAATATTGCTTGTTCTCCTCTAATTTTTAATCTCCAGATTAATTATCCGATCAGGATTAAGGATATCCCATTCTAAAATTTTCAGCTCTGAGCTGAAAACTTTAGAATGAGCATTGAGATATCCTTAATCCTTAATTTTATTCTTAATCCTTTTTTTTGGATGTCCCTACTGTATAAGAGTTACGTTTGATAACAATTACAGATACAATACTATAATGATTGAACTAATATCTGATTGAATTAAAGCCAGCTGTTCACAAGACGGCTTTTAGAGCATTTAAGCAAATATAAATTTAATCATGTTAATATGAACTTATTAAAAATTATATTTTATATTTTTTTTTATCAAAACTTACATTTATTTAATCGATGTTTAGGTCAATTGATATGACACAATTAACACCAGAAAAAAAAACGGTTTTTCAAAAGTTAAAGAGTACATCTTAACATAATACGCTGATTGGTTGAATTTTATACTTCTTTCTTGGATATCAAATGCGTATTAAAATAATCTCGGGTTTAGTAAAACCAGAAGTTTAAGCATTAATTTTGATATCCATCATTTTTGTAATTTAACCTTCAGATCTAAAACCATTCTAAAACTTACCTTTCAGGGTAACACTTTTATACAGTTCATGTAATCCACTTTATACAAAAAAATCCTTGTTTTTTTAGGACCTCTGTTCTACTGCTAAAAAGATTGTTCAATGTTCATGTTTTCTTATTTTCTCTTGATCTAGATTTTATGTTAATCCTATGTATTACAGCTTCTATATATATTTATAATAAGATTGTACATTATTCATAAATATTATCTGTGTCTATAATGCAGGGGGGGGACCCTTTCATTTTTTACGAACACTCCCTTTAAATCTTAAAGTACATGAAATCTTCAACAAAGTAATATCCTTTCCCCTTTCAAATTATTCCTTTTAAAGATTTAGAAAAGGAATAATTTAATCTTGAAAGTTTTTAATATTTCACTCACAACTCATCTTAATTAGACCACTTGGTACTAAACTTTCTCAATTACAGGGTTACCCATAAAGGATGGGACTTTAATGCTGACTAGAAAGTCTTTGATGAAGATTTGAAGCTTAAATTTCGTGTTTTGGCTTGAAGCATTTGTTCGTATTTCGGAAAAATATTTGGGATACAACAATTATGAGATCTCCATGACTTTCTTTATTTAATCTGGGAAGGTTAGCTTGTTGGTAGAAATGTTCTAAACTGTACAAACCGCTTTCTAACACTTTACCAATAAACAATAGAGTGAGATACATAAAACTGTTGAATAGGAAAAAAAGGTATCATAAGACTCAAGTAATGATTTCAATTTGTTCAATTTACATAAAACATCGCAATTATACAGACTCATTTCTCTTTATAAGTTGATTTTGGACCTACTGGTAAAACTATTTGCATTATGCCATCATCAAATAAACATATAAGAACGATTAAAAGCCATTTTTATATCAACAGTTTTATGGGTATGAAAAAAACGTCAAGTCACAATTAAGTTAATGACTAATCTGGTATAGACTTAAAAATTTATTTGAATTGAATATTTCAAAAATATACATTATACATATCAGATAGTTTGGCAGGTTAGCAGCTTCAAATAACTGCATTGTTAGTAATGATGAGCAGCATTATATTGAGTGGAACCATGAGCAGCTACTACTGAAGAGTGAAGGCCAGGAAGAGTGTGGGTGGAAGAAGCAGGGTATGCGGCAGGAACAGCAGCATAAGTAGCAGGAACAGTGGCGTAGGCATAGGGAGCAGCAGCATAAGCAGCAGGAATAGCTGCATAGGAGGCCGGAGCAGCAGCTTGGTATGCTGGAGAAGCAGCATATCCTGCACTAGGCTGATATGAAGCAGTTAAAGGAAGAGCTACAGATGCAGGGGCATAAGAAGCTACAGCGGGTGCGTATGATAGAGCGGCAGTAGGAGCAGCGGCTGCATATCCAACAGTGGCAAGGCCAGCAGTATCAGCTCCAGCTGGAACTACGATAAGGTTAGCAGCAGAATTGTCTCCAGCAGCAGCTGCAGCTGCCTCAGCCTCAATAGCCTCTGGGGCTAGAGGAAGACCATTGCTTACTCCATTGCAGTCTCTGGAATAGTATAAGAAATGTTACAAACATTGCAAAATCATTGCATAGCAATCCATTAATCAAACTTCATGACTTGTGTGCAAAATCATTGAGGCATGATTTGATTCATTGACAGCATCCTGTTTGATATCTAATTCAACTTCTAATAATATAATTTGAAAGCATTTATTAGAATAAATGTTCTCAATATCCATGGAATAAAAATATAAAATATATTTGTACTAATGCATTTTTTCATAGACTTTAGTTTTGTATATATTCAACTCCATATAGCATGAAATGCAATTTTCTTTTAATTTGTTAAATGGTTTAAGTATGCCGTTTGATCTTAAATTTGTGTTATAGAGATGATTGTTAAATTTGTATCTTTCTTCAACGAACTATAATATCATTTCCCTTTTTGTTAAAAAAGTTTGATTAATATATTTCATTATTGTCCTGCCAAAAGTACAAACAGGGGTGGGATTTTCGGCTGTTCAAATATAAAATAATAGAATTTCAAAAGTTGTAAAATAATTAATAAAATCCTGAAATTTTAGTCAGTTGACATTAATGTAGCTTCACGAGTATGTCTTTCTCTGTTTGGAATATTCACACTTGTTTGTGTAAAATCTAAACAAATCTATAACCATAGAATAATTAACAATGACAGATAATACACTAGACGTCGTCTTTGCAAGATTTATGGGTTTTCGTTCACAATAACCCTGAGGCAGAAGCCCAAAGTAGTTATGCGCATGCTCTTTCTCTGTCTTGTCATTCAGTACAGCATGTGCGTAACTTCTTCGGGCTTATGCCCTAGGGTTATTGTGAACGAAAAACCCCTAAATCTTGAAAAGACGACAACTAGGGTTCTATTTGTTAATGTTAATCAATCTATGTCTATAACGGTGACATAAGCTCTATACTTTTGTTTACATTTTGTATTATACCTATATCTTTAAAAGATTAAAAGTTGAAAAATAAGAGGAATAAAAATTTTCATTTAACATATTTTGTAAATATATTCCTACCTGAAAGCACCAACACGCCACTCATCCTCTCCCCTGCAATATCCATACTCTGTACAGCAAGACGCATGCGCGGGACATCCTAGCGGCCATTTTACAGCAGCAGACCTTAATTTATTAAAGAAGCCACGTTACAAAGTAATTTATGTTATTCTTTTATAATTATATCATATTCAATATTACAGGATTTGCTTTTTTGTTTCTTTGTTCGACAAAATTTTGACAACTCAACTTTTAATTGTGACATCTTGGCCCATTTTGTAACGTTTTTATCCTCATGGGACATGACAGTTGGTGAATTGTATAAAATGTCTTCTTCCATAATTTTTTAAGTTGTTTGATACAAAAGATGATGATAAGAAATACTAAATGACATTAATATTACAGTAAAATTGATTTCAAATAAATTTACATCTGAGTAAAAGATTTGTTTAACGAAATAAACTGCAATAATTCTTAAATTACTAATACAGTATCACGGAAGAAAACTATTTACCAACTGTCATGCTTCGAGGGACACCCTTTTTTCCTTCATGTGCATTCCACATTTACCACTATAATATGCATTCTTATGGTAAGAGTTTTCATGTCTAGATATGCGCGTTGTTTTCGGAAAAGAAGAATATATATTTTTTTTTAAATATTGTGAACAATGACATTTTCAAAAATTAACGATTGATGAACGAACCATGAATGGAATGTTTAGAGAATTTTACTTAGAAAACAAATTTTCTGAACAAAAATTTAAAAACTAACGAAATAGGTATAAAAATGAACGATGATTCAAAAAACGAAGGAATTAAAATGTTTACTGAACGACCAAAAAATGGTTCGTTAACGAACAATGAACGAGTGAAATAAAAAGAAAAACTGGAACCTGAAAGGAGCAGCTGCACAGCTTCCTTCTCCAAATCCTGCTCCAAGCAGACCAGCGTGGCAGCTAGCTGTAACAGCAACTAGAACAGCCTAAATACAAGAACAACATCAATATGGTCCAAAGTGAGAATCAGAAAACCATGCAATTCCCATTATCTTCTCTTTTCTTTTAATTAGTTTGTGACATTTTTCAAGTAAAAGGAAGACCATAGAGTCAACTTTTATTTCAGCGAATGCATTTATGATATCACTCGAGAGAAAAAGTGATGTCGAAAATTCATCGGCTGCAATCGCAATAAAACTTAAAATTATAACACTTCTTTATATTTTCCAGCTCAAGCTAGCTGTACAAGTGCATAGGTCTAGAACAGCTTAAATACATTAACTACATAACTTAATATCGATATCTTGTGGTGGTTACACCTTGCACGTGTAACTTAATTGAGGTATCAAGTGTTAAGCTATAATGGCAAAAGTTCAAAGATCAAATTCATTTCTATTTAAAATGAGTTACCGGCAATGTATGGTAGTTGAACTGAGAATGTAATATTGTGGAGAATTTTTTTAAGAAATCATTTGAGACTAATGTGACAATTTTACGGTGTATATTCGTACAGCAAGAGCGCAAATTCTATCTTCAAAATTCTAATAGATTGTTAATTTCTGAGGGATGATTTTGAGAATGGTTTTTTAAAAAATCATTCCATTATTGTCGTCGTGACAAATGTAGTCAAAATTTTACAGTAAACTAATAAGTGTTATGGAATAGGTTGAGAAAATAAAAATTAACAATTATTATCGAAAATGAGTAATCTTATTCAGTTATTGGTTTCTGAAATATCATGCATTGTTCAAAAACATTTTCTGTAGATTTCCTGGAATTTTTTTTGAAAAGACGACATTTGAAGAATTTAAGAAATTTGCGAACAAATTCATAAAGTATAAGAAATTAAAAGAAATAACTGATTCTAACCTTAATTTATTGATAAAATTTCGATTGAGAAATATGTTCCTAAACATCTAATTAGTTTATTGTAGATTTTTTTTAAACATTTTTACAGACCTATGATTTATTTAATTCCTATTCTTTATTCAGTGTTGGTCATATACTGCAGGAAAAACTTTAAATTATGATTTAAGCATTAATCCTAAAATGTCCACATTATGGCAGGTTTTGATTATACTCATCCCAAAAATTACACTTGTTATTAGGTCGGGTTCTTAAAGTTGTTTACTTCTAATCTACACCAGCCCAGATTAATTATTTTTTTATGTTTAACTCTTTAAAAATTTCTTACTCAATCAAAGGAATTTGCTTTGCCAAAGTTTCTCTGAACTGGACATTGATGGAGACATCTTGTAATGAATAAACACAGTCTTTGGACTGAATTAAACTTAAACTGGAATTCTAGGGCTTTGCTTTGTTCAATGTTCAACCATCCCACGCTGAGCAACTATTAGGCATACTGTGGAAGGGAGAGACGAGGGGAGGGGGAGTTTAAAGATGGGGGTTTTGACATTTTGTAGGAGTGTGCTGAAGGAAGGAGGGGGATTTGAAAGGAATAATGATGGAGGAAAGAGGATGAGCCAGATTGGAAAGGAGGAGTGCGGTTTTGGTCTGCATTTTGAAGATGAAAGCGAAACGTTTTTGTGAATTAAACAAAATCTAAAAATACATCTCAAAAAGTTGATAAAATACAGAATAAAATGATATATTGTAATGGTCTAAAGAATAAAGATAAAGATGTGATATCTGTCAAAGGATTTTAAAGAAATTAATGACTCCTAAACAAAGACAATTTTGATTTTGTCATATACTGGGTTATCTACAAAGGTTAAGACTAAAAAGACGTCCCAAGACTCTTTAGATATGCCACGGTTTTCACGGTTTTAGTAATTATTTCAATTTATTAAATCTTTTCAAAGACTTTTCAAAGACTTTTTCTAAAGTAAGATTCTTCAGATCTTCATATTCTTCTTCATTAGGTTGCCATTAAAGATTCATACTTTGCAGTTAACTCTGTAAAATGAGTTCCACGAAAAAGTCTTTGTTTTCTTCGAACTTCTTTCTTTTGTCACGATTTTTTCATGTTCAAAGTTCAAATATGATTTGGGCCCCAGGCCAATTTGTTGCCTGTATTTTTCAGCGTTACACAAAGTATGTAATCAATTTAAACCAGTTCTTGGAAACAAGAGACAAGCAGTCTATTTGTTCTTCACAGTAAGGAAATTTTCTCCTATTTTACTAAACATTAAAAGGAAAAAAAAAGGTTTAAAAGACATTTTAAATGACTTTCTTATCTTCAATTTTTTTAAACTCACCAACGCAAGAATCAATTAAAGATAGACTCTTGATTTTGTTTATGATTTGGTTTCACATGGTTTGGTTAAACTACTTAATTGAGGAATGGTTTGGTTTCACTTGGTTTGGTTAAATTAGTAATGGTTTGGTATAGTTTAGTTTGGTTTAGTTTGGGTTTGTTTGATTTGGTGAGACAATAGTTTCTAAATGTTTGTGAGGTGTGTAATATTGTGTTGAAGCTTTTTACAGATAAATTACAACAATAAATCGTAAATGTGGTCGCCATGTTGCAAAATTTGACGTTTATATTGTGTGGGAACGGGGAGGCAGGGGGGAGATGGCTAACGGTTGGAGTGAGGAATGGGGAATGATTTAGAATGAGAAGGGATTGCATCAGCTAATTAAAAAAACAAGGGATTTTTATTATTTCAACATATTTTATTCATATTAGATCCGATTTCAATTGGGTTAAATATATTTTTTTTTAAATGTAAAATTTCGCAAATTTTTCTGTTTTTGATTCCAAAATATTTGACAAATAAAATTTTGTGCGACAAATTTTTTTATTTTGCAGGCCGGCTAACCGTCGCAAAAAGTTTTCATGGGGGACAAACACACAAAGAAACCAACAAACAAGCCAAAGATATACATCGATCTAACAATAAAAAAATATTCCAAAATTTAACTATTTAAGAAAAATGTCGTTGTTGTTATTAAAAATGATTCACTTACAATTCTGGACCACATGTTAACGAAGAATGTCTGTAAGCAACTGAGAGAAGGATGATTCTAAATCCCGGTACAACAACTATACTAAAGGTTAAAGAGCAACCAGTGCAACTGCAACCAGGTTCTAAACTTGAAATCATGAATCATCAAATATTCTATACACAGTTCAGAAGAAAAAAAAACCTCAAAACTTTTTCTGGTAAAAATATCTTATATCAGAAAAAGCTAATACTTTTTTCAGGGAACCTATGTCCCGTTGAACCCAGAAAAATATTGAGTCTTTTGTGGTTACAGACACGTGTAAAATCAAGTAATTAACCCTGTTTAAGGTTGAGAAACTAAAGATGGGGTTGGGGTGGGACCATCCCTTTAGACCTTCATATATACGTTACCTGGTTATTATGAATCATTTTCAGAATTGTCAGATTTCAGTGTACCCCATCCCATTTTCAGAGTTGTCTAGATTTCAGTGTACCCCAAACCATCTTCAGAGTTGTCTAGATTTCAGTTTACCCCTAACCATCTTCAGAGTTGTCTAGATTTCAGTTTACCCCTAACCATCTTCAGAGTTGTCTAGATTTCAGTTTACCCCTAACC